TGACCCTAGGTCGGGGGATTGAAAAAGGGGTCTTAAGGATTGTAGGTTGGCGTAGAATTGGATGTGAAGTTACTGGGGAGGTGGGCTACAATTGGAATGAAGAGTTGGCAAGAGAATTTTTCATTTTTCTTTCCATTTTCCTTTGCATTCAATAAAGTATTTAAGTATGTGTGTTTTCATTATCCTTCCTTTTATTTAAAATGTCTGAACGTTTTGTTTCCTTACAATCCATTTTATTTATTTATTATTTTTATTATTTTGCTATAGTAAAAATGATTTAGAAACCCAAATAAAGGTCTAGTTAAGAGTCGACTATACATTTTTTCCATTAATTTATTTGTAAATACACAAAAACTAACTTTATTATCAATATTAATGTTGTAACTATAATCCTAGCTAGCTACCCAAGAAGGCGGTGAATTAGGTCTTATCGATTTAATTCAAAACTCGTTTCTTTTTCTTTAAAAGATGAATCAAATTTCCATATTATAAATATTGTGCAAAATAAACAAACAACAATTACAATATTGCAAATAAAGTGTAGAAAATAAAAAGAAAGGGAAGTGAATATCAAGTCATGATTTATAGTGGTTCCTCCAACACAGAATACGTCTACTCCTTAAGCCTCCTTACTCGAGAGTTCAATCCACTAGGATTCTTTTGCTTACAAGTGCAATATTAAACCAAAATAAACTTTTGCTTACAGGTGTAAGATTAATGTAATATCCCAAATTTTTTGAAATTCTAGCATTTAAGTTGAGGACTTTTGTGTGAGAAACTATTATTTTGAGGCCTGTTAGCTAAAATATCCAAATTTGAGGGACTTAAAAGAGGAAAACATTAGGATAAGGATCAAGCTGATTTTTTTTCCTTCTTTCTTCCTTAGCCATGTGGGTTTCTTCTTCTTCCTCACCCCTGCAGCTCACGAAAAAGAAGCCCAAGCATCAACTTCCATTTCTTGAAAAAAAATTAGCAAAAGCTTAAATTTTTCCCTTCTATTCTTGTTAAAGAGCAAAATTAGGACTTAGAAATCTTTCCCCCCTGTAGAAAAATTTCAGATCTGCTCTGTTTCTCCCCTTTTGTCTGTCCGCTGTTCTGCTGGGTGTGAATCCTTCGGGATTTTCGGTAAGAACCAGCTTCAAGTTCATCTCTTTAGCTTTAATTTGGCTTGGGTCACCCTAATCCTTTTTGTTTCTTACAATTTTGTGGTAGTTTTCATGATTTCTTCTCCAGTCTCCGTCGGCCTCCATAACCGCCAGCTCCAGTTTTGGTTGCTGGAAAAATTCTGGTATGTTGATGGCATCTTTAAGTCCGAAAATGGTTAATTAGTTGCTGCCCTACTGAGTTAAATTGTTGAATTGCTGCCCTGTTGTCCAAAAATTTTCTGTTGTACAGGGGATGAATTCCGACAGCTTTTGAAACATGTTTTGAGTTTAATTCATGTAGAATTTTCTGTGATTGGACTACTGTGATGTTCTGTATGCATAGCTGGGTCTTAGTGCTGTTTTGCCAAGCTCAGTTCCTCCATTTTGTCCGTTGGAAATTTTCTGTTGAAATGGAGGAGTTTCAGCAGCCTTAAAACATGGGTTTTTAAGCTTGCTTAATGTAGAAAATGTTCTTGATTGGCTGTTGTAGTATTTTATATGAAAATCCCGTGATTAGCTGCTGTTTTGCCAAAAAGGAATAATTTAATAAAGGCCCGGCTTCTCCATTTTTGTGTCGGTGGGATTGGGAAACCATTTATATATGTATTTGTGTATATAAATGTATATATATACAATCCGGTCAATGAAAATAAATAAATAAATGAAATTGCTTATAGAATTAATTCTTGGATATTTTGGTTAGGTTCTTGATCCTTGGGGCACTTTAGTAGGTGGATTGAGTCTTCGGTTTTATGCGAGTGAGGTAAGTAAATTATGGTAACGCCCTCCGATTTTAAAACACATTTTAGCTTGTTTTTGAAGTGGTGGCAAGACTAAACCTGTTTTACACAAGCATGATCGGTTTGAAATGGAATTATTATCATTTTCATTAAATTGAGCATGCCAACTTGGAATTTACTTAACTGCCTTGATATGAACTGAGAATTTTGTAAATTTTGATTTTTTTGTTAAATCCATGCCCACATGGAAATTTTCCAGTTTATTCTTGAAATTGAGAGTGATTGTGAATCATGGATTTTTTTTCCTGTAAATCTTGCCTGATTTTGTCTCCGATATGGTCATGTTATTCGTGTGCCCGCTAGTGGGAGGTTTATTAACGCTAGCACATGTCGACATATTACTGATAGAATCGGTTCATTTCTGTGATACTGTTATCCTGCTAGTGGGATTATACACTAGTAAATCGTGTGTTTGTCAGTGGGAGGTTTATAACACTGGCCATGACCTATAGAGGAGACATCTATTTCATTCTCGTACTATATCTGTTTTTCTGATTACACTTGTTGGCATGCTATGAGTTTAACTACGGGCTATCCATATTTTACTTTTTGAGTTATCTTATAGTTTTTCTTTGTCTACCATTTTAGAAAGCGAAGTCAAGGACAGGAAAAAACAAGGGGAGTGACGAGTTAAAAGGCTAGCCATCTTGTAAATTGAACATAAATTTTAGATACAAATCATGATCTTGTAAGCTAGACTTTATTTGGAGATTTTATGATATCAGGGCAAATTTTAAAAATTTTATCTTCAGATTTTGTGATATAAGATTGTGGTATGATGAAGTACCGAGCCTTGTGCATTTGTGGGACCCTCTCATAAGTGTACGACGTCTGCCACGTTTCCAGATTTAGGTTCTGGGGCGTGACAATTAAACCCTCACACTCTTACTTGCAGGAGCAAGATTAAACTCTCACAAGTGAATCTCAACATCTCACTAGTGAATCTCAACATCTCACTAAACCCCCTCAAGAATTATTCCAATCCAAGAAGAATACAACATACCCTTCTAAGCAAAAACAATAAACCAAAAAGCTCACAAGAAGAAGAAGAAGAAGATTCAAAACTGTTTTCAATTGTTCAATCTCTGTCTTTCTTCTATGTATTGAGAAGTCCATTGGGGAGAGCCTTTCAAATCTGATTTTTTGATGCATTTAATGGTTGGTTGGGAGATCTTGCAATTAAACCCTATTTTGCTTCAATGCCACCTCACAATTGCTCCAATCAAATTCCACCATTTTTCTACTTTCTATAATAGACTTTGACTTGTTTTAGAAAGTGGCTTAGTCATTTGGATCCCTTTAAGGTCCATTGAGACAAAACAAATAATTGAACTATCAAAGGTCACCTTTTAGAATTTTGGCTTCGAAGTTGGAAATATTGATTCAAACTGTTTTAAGAAAAACTAAACTATGGGATTGGTTTGAATCAATTCCAATTGATTCGAACCCAAAACTCTGGACAAGGAGGACATGATTTGATGCTAATCATGGGGAAAAATTAAAATTCTTGAATTAGCTTTCCTGCACATTTAGGACAAAATAGATTAAACTCAACCTAACAATCTCTTCCTTTTTGATGATGACAAAACCATGCCTTAAAATAATAGAGATAATAAATGTAAGCTTCCCCTCAAAATATGCTTCCAAGTTCCAAAAAGAAATGCACAAACAAATAACAAAAATAATTTTCATTTAAGTTCCTCTCCCCATTTTTTTCAGTAACAAAAAGAAACATACAAATCAGCACAAAGCATAGCATAGAGTTCAAAAATACAAATTAGCAAAGTGCAGTAGACAAAAGACAAAAGACACTACACTAATAAGTGAGTAGACAAAAGATAATAACAAAGTAGCACCAAAGTTAGACATTGTAATAGTACTAAGCACCAAAATGACAACCGTAGTCAATGCAAATGCATAGATGGTCATTACAAATTGATATCATAATAAACCAACTCTTCCAAAAACACAGAAAGTAGCTCATTATAATAAGTGCAAAAGTAAAATACAACGGGCAATATCTTTAATGGATTTGCTTCAAGCCTAATTTTTGTGGTTCAAAACAATATGCTTTGCAATTCACTTTTTGTTTCTTCCTTTTAATTTTAATTTTATTTATTTTATGATATTTATTATAGCAAATTTTACCTATTCAAAGATAATCAAACAACTAGACATTTAAGAATCAAAATTTAACAAGTTGGGTCATACATCCCTATGCCATATCTTATTAAATAAAATTGTTCTTCATTTAAAGGTTTGGTAAATATGTTTGCCAATTGGTTTTCAGTTTTTGCAAATTCAAGTGTTAAGTCCCCATTTTTCACATGTTCTCTAATAAAATGATATCTAATTTCAATGTGTTTTGTTCTTGAATGTTGAATTGGATTCTTGGTTAGATTAATTGTGCTAGTGTTGTCACATTTAACCAGAATTCTTTCAAATTTGCATCCAAAATCCTCTAATTGTTGCTTCATCCATAAAAGTTGAGTTGCACAACTACCAATTGAAATATACTCAACCTCAGTAGTTAACAAAGCACTTGAATTTTTTTTTTTTTTTGGTATTAAGAAATCGAGGCACCTCCTAAGATTTGACAAATTCCACTAGTTCTTTTCCTATCAACCTTACTACTAGCAAAGTTAGCATTTGAGAATCCAATTAAATCAAAATTCATCCCTTTGGGATACTAAAGACCTAAGTTTTGAGTTCCTATAAGATATCTAAAGATTCTTTTTAATGTAGTAAAATGAGACTCCTTAAGACATGATTGAAAATGAGCACACAAGCACACACTAAACATAATATCAGGTCTACTAGCTGTCAAATATAATAATGAACATATCATGCTTCTAAAAAGTTTCTAATCAAAAGGCTTACCTTGTTCATCTTTGTCTAGTTTGAAGGTTGAGCTCATTGGTGTGCATTGGTGTGCATTGAGGCTTAGCTTTTTCCATTCCAAACTTTTTCAACAGCTCTTTGGTATACTTTAATTGATTAATGAAAATCCCTTCATTACTTTGCTTGATTTGTAGTCCAAAGAAGAAATTTAATTCTCCCATCATACTCATCTCAAACTCTCCTTGCATAAGCTTGAAAAAATTCTCACAAAGAAGTTCATTAGTGGCACCAAATATTATGTCATCTACATAGATTTAAACAATTAAAAAATCCTATTCATGATGCATTATAAATAGAGTGGTGTCAACTTTTCCTCTAGAAAAACCTTTTTCAATTAGAAACCACTTAGTCTTTTATACCAAGCTCCAGGAGCTTATTTTAAGCCATACAAAACCTTAGATAAGTTGAATACATGATTTGGGAAATGGGGGTCCTCAAAACCAGGGGCTTGCTCAACATAAACTTCTTAATAAATCCATTTAAAAATGCACTTTTAACATCCATTTGAAAAAGTTTCATGTTCATATGACATGCAAATGCACATAGCATACATATAGATTCTAATTGAGCAACTAATGCATATGCCTTCCTCTTGACTATATCCCTTAGCAACTAGTCTTGCTTTATTTCTAACTACACGACCATGTTCATCTAACTTATTTCTAAAAAGCCATTTAGTGCCTATGATAGGATGTTCACTACGAAGACATACAAGGTTCCATACTTTATTTCTTTGAAACTGATTTAATTCCTCTTGCATTGCCAAGAACCAATTTTCATCCTCCAATGCATCATTGGCATTCTTAGGTTCTATATGAGAAATAAATGGAAAATTATTCACAAAATCAAAGTGAGATCTTGTTGTTACCCCCTTTTTCTATGTCACCAATGATCTTTTCTTTTGGATGATCTTTCTTGAATTTCCATGTCTTTGGAAAGTCTTGGCAAGCATCATCGTTATGTTCTTGTAAGCATACTCCTTTTCCAGAATTTTCTTCAAGATTTAGCTCTCTAATCCTTGTTTTAATTTCACCTGCATCATCATCCAAAACAACCTTTCTTGGGATAAAATTATTTTCAACAAATGTAACATGCATGGACTCTTCTACAACCAAAGTTCTGTTATTATAAACTCTATATGCTCTACTTTTTAATGAGTACCCAAGAAAAACACCCTCATCACTCTTAGCAGCAAATTTTCCTAGATTTTCTTTGCCATTGTTATGCACAAAACATTTACAACCAAATGCATGAAAATAAGAAATATCTGATTTCTTATTCTTCCACAATTCATTTGAAGTTTTTTCCAACTTTAACCTAATTAGAACTCTATTCAAAATGTAACATGCTATGTTAATAGCTTATACCCATAAATATTTTGGTAATTGATTTTCACATAGGATTGTTCTGCCCATTTCTTGTAAGGTTCTATTTTTCTTTTCAACAACTCCATTTGGTTATGGAGTTCTTAGAGAGGAAAAGTTATGTTCAATTCCATTTGAGTCACAAAATTCTTTCATTTTATCATTCTCAAACTCACCTCCATGATCACTTCTAATGCATGTAATAGTGAACCGTTTTTCGTTTTGCACCTTTTACAAAATTTAGTAAATTCGCTAAATGTATTTTTCTTATGAGCCAAAAATATAGTCCAAGTATACCTAGAATAATCATCTACAATTATTAAGGTATATATTTTTACCTCCCAAACTAGTGACATCAATAGGACCAAATAGATCCCAGGGCAAAAGTTATAGTGGCCTTGATGTAGTTACATCCTTCTTTGACTTCAAAGAAATTTTTGTTTATTTACCTTCTTGACATGCACCACAAATTTTATCATTCTCAAAAACTAGTTTAGGTAAGCCGACAACTAGATCTTTCTTAGATAATTTAGAAATCAAGTGCATGGATGCATGTCTTAACCTTCTATGCCATAGCCAACTCTTACTTTCATTTTTAACCATTAAGCATTTTACATTATATGAAGATAAATCATCAAAGTCAACAATGTAAATGTTTCCCTTCCTTTTACCAACAAACAAAACTTCATCATCATGAATATATAGTAGTTTGCATGCATTTGACTCAAAAATAATTCTATACCCCTTGTCACATAATTGACTTATACTAATCAAATTATGCTTGAAACCTTTTACATAATAAACATTTTCTATAACTAAACCAAAATTCTTACCTACATTGCCAATACTTTTGATATGGACTTTTGCATTGTCACCAAAAGTTATCGTTCTTCCTTCCATTGTGTCAGGGTTCAAGAATTGTGATTTGTCTCCTGTTATATGTCTAGAACACCCACTATCCGGATACCATTTTTCTTTCTTCAATTCTTCCTTGAAGCTTCCCTGAAAACACAACTTAAGCACTTGATTTTGGTACCCAAACTCTCTTGGTTCCATTTGAGTTAGTCAAATAGGTAGAAATTTTCTTAGGAACCCACTTCAAATTCATCTTAAAGATATTCTTTCTAGTATAGCTTTGATGGATATAGTGTCCCCTTTTCAAGCAATAATGACAAATGATTCCATGATTATAGGAATGATGAACATGATTATCTCTAAAACTTGATGCTTCTACTTTGTCATAAGAATGAAAAGTATTACATTTCATAAAAACAATAGATTTAGATGAGGAAGACTTAGATACTTCAAAAGAAGGTCCAACTTTATTATGAGAAAATCTTTGTGAACTTAAATTGTTATCTAACCTTTGCCTTCCACAAAATTGTTCAAAGAACTTTCAAGATGGCTTATTTTCCTTTTCAATTCATCTACCAACTTATCATGCTCTTTAATCAACCTTTGTTTGTAATTTCTAAATGCAATTGTTGACACTCTTCCAAGTCAATTTTCATATTTTGACTAATTATCATTTCCTCATTAAAAGATTCTCTCAAATCATTGTTCTCTTTTCTAAGTGACATGATTTCCCTTTTTAAAGATGCATTTTTTGCACTAATTTGTTTAGAATGCTCATATAATTCATTAAATGCATATTACAAATCTTCATATGACATTTCATCATCACTTGCAGGATCAAAAATAGAGGTAGAAGTGGAATTTACGTCATCTGTGATATCATTTGCCACGAGACATATATGAGCTTCCATGTCACTTTCTTCTTTACTAGAAGATGAGTCCTTACTACAACTCCATGTGGCAACCATTGCTTACTTTTTCTTTTTGGCTTTTAGACTCTTTTCATCATTGTTTAGACCCTCAGATTTAATTTGTCTAGCCTTCTTACATTTGTAGCAGAAAATCTCATCATTTTTACTGCTTTGTCCCTTTTCTTTACTACTTTTATAGTTTTTCTTTTGTTGTCCTTGATTCTTCAACCCGTATTTCCTTAGGAATCTCCTAAACTTTCGACCAAGCACTATAAATTCTTCATCATCCTTTTCATCATTGTCACTTTCATCTTTGGAGGAGCTTTTGAAAGCTACAAATTTCTTCTTCCAAGAGTCATCATCACTTTCATCATTTTTTATGGCCATTTGATGTGTAAGGAGCTTTCCTTGCAACATCTAAACAGTCATGGCACTTGAATTGTAATACCCCAAAATTTTGTGATATTTAGCACTTAGTTAAGGACTTGATTGTGAGGAAAATATTGTTTGGGACCTAATAGTGAAAATTTTGAAACTTGAAGGACTTAAAAGTGCAAGATATTCGGATAAGGATCGGAGGATTTTTTTCTTCTTCCTAGTCTAGTGCGTTTCTGCTCTTCTTCTCCCTTGCAGCTCCCCAAAGCCCCCAAGCTGCCGACTTCCATACTTGAAAGAAAAATCGGTAAGAAGCTTGAAATTTCTCCTTATTTCTTGCTCAATAACAAGTTTTAGGACTTAGAACTCTCTCTCTCAACCCAGAAATTCCAGATCTGCTCTGCGTCTTCCTCCCTTTGCCGTCCGCGAGCTGCAGCTTGTGCGAATTTCTGGGCATTTTTCTGGTAAGATTCAGCCAAGAAATCATCTCTTTAACCTTGATTTAGGTTGGGTTTACTTTAATTGCTTTTATTTCCTCCCAATTTTTGGTAGTCCGTGAGCTTCCCCTACACTGCCGCTAGCCTTCCCCCAACTGCAGCTTTGGTTTTTGCTTGAAATTCTAGTATGTTGACAGCTCCTCCAAGCCTGAATTTCATCAATTGATTGCTGCCTATGTTGTCTGAATTTTTGCTAAAATGGGGGATGAATTCCGGTAGTTTTAGGACAAAATTTAAGTATTAATTCAAGTGGGATTAATGTGATTGAGTGTTAATTGACTGTTATGAGATTTTGGAGAGAAATCCCGTGAGATTAGCTATGGTTTTGCCAATTTTTGGAAGTTGCAGTTACTGTTCATGGCGTGATCACTATTCACGGGTACTGTTCATAGATACTGTTCACGCACTAATGGCCAACAATTAACGGGGATTAAATGTTTAGTTGTAATATAAGAACAAATTTGGAGATGTCTGGTCATATGGAGACTGGTAGAAATAGCATTGTGATTAGAGGTAGTCCTATTGATGATTTCACTTTGAATTTGCGGTAGTGCGGTATTAATTTTGGAATATTTTGACTAGATTCTTGATCGTTCTGTCAGTTTAGCACTGAGATCGAGTCTTCGGCTTTATGCGATTGAGGTAAGTAAATTTATGGTAATGCCCGAATAGTTTTTAAAAGCATTTTTTGACTTGTTTTTTAAGTGGTGGCGGGACTAAATCAGTTTTATGCAAAAGTAAGTATGATTGATTTGAAATGAAATTTTTATGCTTTTCATTAAATTGAGCATGCCTACTTGAAATTTAATTGATTGTTCTGATGATTTGAAAGTGATTGGTGAATTATGATTTTTCTGTTAACTTCTGCCTGTTTTGTCTCCGATGTGGTCATGTTATTAGTGACCCTGCTAGTGGGGGTTAAATGCTAGCACATGTCGACATGTTTACTGATATGACCGGTTCATTCTGATGCCTGCCAATGGGCGAATATATTGGTAATTGCTGACGCCTGCCAGTGCGTGGTTTATAACACTGGCCATGACCTATAGAGGAGACGTCTATTTCGTTCCCGTACTGTATCCGTTTTTCGTGATTGCACTTGTTGGCATGCTATAAGTTTAATAAGAGGCACTCCATACTTACTGAGTTTATCTCATAGTTTTTCCTTGTCCACCATTTCAGGAAGCGAAACCGAGGATGGGGAAATCACGGGAAGTGACGAGTTAAAAGGCTAGTCATTTCGAAATTGATATAGATTTTAGAAATAAATCATGCTTTTGTAAGATATATTTTACCTTGAATTTATGAGATCAAAACAGATTTTGGTCATTAGATCAATTACTTGGATTTAAGCCATGTTGGATATAGAAATAAATTGAGATGTTTGATTTAAGTTATTGGATTGTCAGATGTGAATTGGATAAGTTCCAAGCTTTGTGCATTTGTGGGACTCTTTCATGAGTGCACGGTGTCTGTCACGTTCTCGGATTTGGGTTTTGAGGCGTGACAGATTAAGTGGTATCAGAGCCTAGGTTGAAATTAAGAGCTTAGGATTAAATTAAGCACCTCCAGATTGAGTGGTATCAAAGCTTAGATTTAATTAAATACCTAGGTTTAATTGAATACCTAAGATTTGTTTGGAACGTGGCTAGCCAGTGGATTTTAGAACCGTGGTGAGATGAGTGATGGGGTTATATAGGGGACAATTCTGATTCATGTTGCCTGAATTTTCTAATCCATTTTGATGAGATTGTAATCTGATTGTTCTTGTTTCCTGCCTTCATACCCTATGTAGATTCATGAAATTAATTTTGTCCGTCATGTTCTTAAGACCTTGTTTTGAAACTTGGTCATTTTCTGATAGTCTGCACTTGTTTAGACTTGTTACGTGAATAGAATTTTTGTACGCTCTTTTGCCACAATTGTAAAAACTGAGAAGTTGCAGAGATTTTTTGTTGTTGATCCTGTTGGTCTTTACAGCATAGTTGGTTGAGAAATTTGTTTTGTTGGTCACATGACTAGTGGAAGGTGGGCAACCCTCTACTTTGTAAGAGATTCAAGGCTATTTTAGCAAATGTTGTGTGTTTTCTAGATGTGTTTTAGCAACTGGATAACTTGGTAATTCCGCTACTCATTATCTTTCTGAAAGTCTTATAGTGAAATTTCACTTTTTCCATTTGGAGCTTCATGGTCTTTTCATGTGGCTCATTTTTTATATTGGTTAATCAAAAACAATGATCAATTCAATTGAAATTGCCTTGTTTTTATGAAGACTGGCAAGATGTCATAAAGTTAAACTCTATTGTTGCTAATCTCTACATTCTTGATACTTGGAAACTGCTTAAAACTCTTGAAATCCATCTTGAATCTTTCTTGAGATTGTTTTGTACTTGTTTTTGAAACTGAAATCCAAAGGAAATGGATAATGATTATTGAAATCCTCATTATCTTGATACTTGTCTGAAATCAATTCTTGCATTGTTCTTGGAATCCTATCTTGAACCTTGCTTGGAGTAAAGTCATGTTAGCATCCTTTTCTTGAAAATCAATTGATATTTTGTTTTTGGAATCTATTTTGAATTGTCCTTGAAAACCATTCTTGTCCTGACACTTGCTCTTGTTCAAATTCTATATACTACTCTTGCTCAAATCCTGCATATTTTGCTAGTTCTTGTTTTGGTATACCTGTCGATCTTCTTGATTTTCAATTTTTGTTCATATGGACACCTCTTTAAGAGGGGTGATGATTATTAAAAAATACCTATATGAGACATCCTAATTCTTGTCTCTTGCAAGTGTTAATCTCTGTATTCTTGATGTCTTAGCTTTGACTTGACTTTAGGATGTCTAGGATGACTTGATTGTAAATCTGCTTAGCCTTCATGGGCTACGAGGTGAAAGGGTAGTCTTTAAAGTACCTGATGCCCTAGAGTTTTGTTCCAAGAGAAATTGTTCTTTTATTTGACTGCTTAGATTCTTGTTTGGCCTTTAACTAGAAGACATGAATCTTCTAAGTATCTTGATCCCAGCCATTGCTTTGTTCTGTTAATTAATTCGTGTTACTTGGGGTGCTCAATCTTGACATCTTGGTTATATCTGCTCTTGAATCTGTGTTCTGGTTGTCATTATTGAAATCTCTTTTGTGGGCCTAATCCTTGAATTCTATTGCTTGTTTCATGGTTAACTTTTGTCTCTCAATTTTGACTGCTTGGTTAAATTTGATCTTGATTCTTGATGAATGCCATTTTGTTGCTAAAATTTTTGAGGCATTCTACCTTACACTCTTATGTTCCAGTATTCTTCCAAGCATTCATATTTTCCATTGTTTTCATCTGATGCTATTCTGGAAATTTCACATGTCATTTAATGGGTCTAGCTTTTAACTCTTGTTAATTGCTAAAATTTGTCTCTTGATTCCAGTTGTTTTGTTAAACATGATCTCACTTATTGGCTAACCTTGTTTTGTGGTAGAAATTATAAGGCATCCATGCACTTGTTCATTCATTCATGATCCATATATCCATTTGATGCTTATCTGTCTTTGATAGAGTTTAAAGTTTTGTTGTACTCATCTTTAAATCCATGCCATTCTTTGTCAACTTGTTTTGTGTTGGGTTCATAGCGTAACCCCACGACTGTTCTTTTGTAGCCTTGGCAGGATTTATTTTATTCCTTGTGCTTCCCATATCACCCCAGCCTCTAGTAGCTTATTTCATGCTAAATCTTGTTAAGTAGTTAATGTTCTGCTTCTATGATTAGTTGTGATTTGATATCAGAGTGTCACAGCGAAAGCGTAGTAGGCCATGTTTGTTCATAGGAAGTTAGTGGGGGCATTTGTTGTCTTGGATTGTGTGAAGCCATTCACTGCTCGAAATGATCCTCAATTTGAGTTTTGGGGACAAAACTCCTTTTAGGAGGGGTGAATGTAATATCCCAAAATTTTGTGATATTTAGCACTTAGTTAAGGACTTGATTGTGAGGAAAATATTGTTTGGGGCCTAATAGTGAAAATTTTGAAACTTGAAGGACTTAAAAGTGAAGGATATTAGGATAAGAATCAGAGGATTTTTTTCTTCTTCCCAACCTTGTGCGTTTTTGCTCTTCTTCTCCCCTACAGCTCCCAAAGCCCCCAAGCTGCCGACTTCCATACTTGAAAGAAAAATCGGTAAGAAGCTTGAAATTTCTCATTCTTTCTTGCTCAATAACAAGTTTTAGGACTTAGAACTCTCTCTCTCAACCCAGAAATTCCAGATCTACTCTGTGTCTTCCTCCCTCTGCCGTCTGCGAGCTGCAGCTTGTGCGAATTTCTGGGCATTTTTTTGGTAAGATTCAGCCAAGAAATCATCTCTTTAACCTTGTCATCTTAATTGAGCTCCAAGATTTTGGCAACAAGTGGAGAATCTTTCTGACGTTATCTTCCTCAAGAAGCACCCTATCAAAAAGCTTGAATTCATTAGTGATTTTGGTAAAGCAAGTAAACATGGCTTTAATGTCTTCATCTGATTTCTTTTTGAAAAAGTCATATTTTTTAACCAACATGTTAATTTTTGATTTCTTGACTTCATTAGTTCCTTCATGAGCCACTTGCAATTTATCCCACATTTCCTTACTAGAATCACATGCACTAATTCTATCATATTCACTAGGATGTAAAGCACAAAATAATGCATTTTTAGCTTGAGCATTTATCTACAATTTTTTTTTATCAACTTTATCATATGATGTAGGATCCTTAGGAATAAGTTTGTCATCCTTGTCTCTAACCAAGACTTTATAAGGTCCTCTAACAATACAATCCCACATCTTATAGCTATTTGCTTCTAACCAAATTTGCATCCTATTTTTCTAGTATTGATAATTTGTTCCATCAAAATAAGGTGGCCTAGAGATTGAATGACCTTCAGCAAAATGAGTTTGGGAAGCCATAGATCTACTCAAGATTGTTAAATCTATTTTTAAGAGAACGTGTTCTGATACCAATTGTAATCTCAGTTGGCTACCTAAAAGGAGGTGAATTGAGTCTTATCAATTTAATTCAAAACTTGTTTCTTTTTCCTTAAAAGATGAATCAAATTTCCAATTTATAAACTATTGTGCAAAATAAACAAATAGTAATTACAATCTTGCAAATAAAGTGTAAATAAAGTGCAAAAAAATAAAAAGAAAGGGAAGATAATATCAAACCATGGATTTATAGTGCTTCTTCCAGCCTGAAGTACATTCACTGCCCAAACCTCCTTGCTCGAGAGTTCAATCCACTAGGATTCTCTTGCTTATGGTGCAAGATTAAACCATAAGCAATATTAAATTAGAACAAACTCTTGCTTATGGTGCAAGATTAAACCAGAACAAACTCCTGCTTACAGGTGCAAGATTAAACCCTCACACTCTTGCTCATGGGAGCAAGATTAAACCCTCACAAGTGAATCTCAACAACTCACTCAACCCCTTCAAGGATTATCCCAATTCAAGAAGAATATAATACCCTTATAAGCAAAAACAATTAACCCAAAAAGCTCATAAGAATAAGAAGAAGATTCAAAATTGTTTTCAATTGTTCAATCTCTATTTTTCTTCTATCTATTGAGAAGTTCCCTAAGTAGAGCCTTTTAGATCTTATTTTTTTATGCATTTAATGGTTGGTTGAGAAATCTTGCCATTAAACCCTATTTTGCCCTTCAATGTCACCTCACAATTGCTCCAATCAAATTCCACCATTTTTTTACTTTTTATAATAGACTCTAACTTGTCTTGGAAAGTGGCTTAGTCAGTTGGATCCCTCTAAGGCCTATTAAGACAAAATAGATAATTGAACTATAAAAGGTTACCTTTCAGAATTTTGGCTTTGAAGCTAGAAATATTGATTCCAACGGTTTTCAAAAAACTAAACTACGGAATTGGTTTGAATCAATTCCAATTGGTTTGAACCTAGAACTTTGGACAAAGAGGATAGGATCTGATTTTAATTGTGGGGAAGGATTAGAATCCTTGAATTAGCTTTCTTGCACACTTAGCACAGAATAGATTAAACTTTTTCAATCATGGTTTTAAATCATCATCAAAATACAAAGAGAAACTAACAGTAATAGCTCTCTATAAAGTCAACCTTAAACTCAAAAAAGTAGCTTTGTTTGGGCTCATAAAATGTAAGAAAGAGCTTTTATTTTCATATTTTAAAACAATGCAACTGTTAACAAATAAAACAAAATAGAGCTCCTTTATATTTAAAAGTTTATAATTTTATATATCGTAAAATTAATATACACATATCAACTTGTGGTCTCCAAATGTAAAACAAAACTTTTAGTTTGATGACACGACAGTTGCCAACAAATAAAAATTCCTTGATGAGTTAACTTCTATTTACAACCAAAATGGATCATCTCTAAGCTATGCTTCATAGTACAACTACCTATGGACAAAAGAACAGAAGATGAGCTTCAAACAACTCATAAGTGCAAGTAGGAAAGAAGAAATCAAATAGGGGAAAAACACTAGTAGAATTAATAACCCATAGTAGTTTTCATGCTTTAGTAACTATCAACCAAGCATAAACTTACAACTCACTTGATTCGCAAGCTCATAACATGTTTGTCATAAGGGCACATAAAACGCATAACAGGACCAAGCTACAGAACTTGGACCACCAGACTTGACGTTAGTATACTCAAATGAACCAGAGCTAACTTTGGTACCTTATAAGATGATATGTTATTCATATGACCTTATTGATGACATGCAAGTTTGCACTACCTTACAAATGGCATTTATTTTGATATGAAACATTTTATATGCTTTAGTCTATTAGACTAGCCTTGATTTTATTACTATATGCAAGGATAATATATGATTTTCAATAGATTTTACATAGTATTCATTTTTTGTGTAAAAAAGGACTTGAATGTATAACAATAAGAGATTTTGCAATTAATTAAATATCTTTTGAAAGTTGAGGGACTAAATTGTGAGAAGAAAGGCTTCTTTTTGGGACCTAAATGAATGAATCTTGAGTTATGGGATCAAAATTCTTATTGTATAAAATCCAGAGGACCAAATCTGCTAGTTTACCATTGAAGAAATTGCAAAGACATGGTTATGGTGTCGACATGTAATTCATAGTATCAGCACTATGCATTAAGCATGTCCAACATTGAAGTTTCCTATTTTGTCCCAAGTCCTACTCTTTTCTAATAGAGTTTCTAAAACTCTATAAATACCCATTCAGATATCAGATTTAGGGCTTTGGGAGGAGACCAAGAGTGAGATGGGTAAGAGGAATTCAACATCAAAAGAAGATTAAGGCTTGAGATTTTATATTGTCAAACTAGTTTTACTTATCTTGAAATTTTATTTTATGATATTAGATACTCTTATATTCATCATAAGATTTTTGATTTGCTTTTCTCTAATTACGAACTAATTTGGCCATCTAAAGCTATGATGTAGCCTTCCTTATCAATTTGTATAAAAGCTTATGATTTTTATGCGTTCAAGGTTTATTATTTTACGTAGAGTATATATTATTTTTCTTAACGTTTTTTAATGATTGGCCACCATTAAAAATAATTTGAAGAGTATAATTAAGACTGAGAAGAGATTTTATGCAATAGCTTCTAATAATATATACCATGAATTGAATGAAAACTAAAAATGGACCAATGTGATTCATACAACATTAGTAATAAATGGATTTAATTTTTTATGTAAACTAGGGAATTTCATATAATATAATGCATCTTTATTTATTTAAATTCACATAGAGATATAATAAGTTAATAAGTAAAGATAGGTTTGGTATAACTTGAAAAAGTATATTGAATAGAATAGGAAATCTCACTGTCATATGAGAAATAAAGACTTTGAAAGTATGTTAGTCTAAATTTTATATTAGTTGACTATGATGAAATCAGATGCCTTAGAATTTCAACTCTTGGTATTACTTAAAATCAATTTTTTTCCTTTAATTAGTTTAATTGATTAGTTCATTCAAATTATCTAATTAAAATTGTTCAAATAAAATTAGAATTAGTTAATTTTGGTAATTAATTAATCTATGCTCTCTGTGGAACAATATTTTATTTTCATCATTATTTACTTGAGTTGACTAGTACTCTTGCTAGAATGAAATTAGCTCATTAAGTTTTTGGTGCTGTTGTTGGGGCTTGTATTGATTCTAATTAATATCAAAGCAAATTAATTCTAGTTTTAATTTGATTTTTTCCTTTTCTTTTATTGTTTTTCAAGTATACAATTTAGTGCATGACTTGTTCTGAAATCATAGAACTTGCACCATTTGATCTTGAGATAAATTGAACTTTTCACATTTGGAACAAAAAGAAGGAAGCTTCAGTTGTCAATCAACCTCACAAGATGGCAGAAGAAGCTGTTGTAAGAACCTTAAGAAAGTATGGATCACCTTTGATCACTACAAAAAAAATGGTTATTTGCCAGTGCTTAACGCACTAGAAAATAAATAAAAAGCATTGGAAATAAATTATTTTCTAGCGCTTAACGCCGAAAATTGTTGTTGTAAAAATACTACTTAGAAATTAGTTAATTTCTAGCATTGGGGGTGTGTTAGAAAATAATTTACAATATTTTATAGTGTAGTGCGCTAGAAAATACATATAAACGAGATGCTAATAACGGCCAATTATCTATTATTAACTTTTTTTTTCTAGCGCATTGTGCTTGAAAATAGTCTTAGTCATACCGGCCATACATTAAAAAACTTCCAGTGCTCTACACTAGCAAACAATTAAGTACTTATTCTCCAACACAATACACTAGAAAATAATGCTAAGGATAATGCATTTGAGTAAGTTATTTTTTAGTGCAATGTGCTAAAAAATAATCTTGAACATAACCTCAACAACTCGAGAACTGGCTAAACACTGTGAAAAAAATTAACTTATTTTTCAATGTTTTCCATTGAAAAATGAGCTTGAGAATGCACTACATGATCAGCTCATTTTTCAGCATAATATGCTGGAAATTCAAATAAAAAAAAAATCAACTTACTCTTTGTTTCCAGTGGAATGCATTGGAAATAAAGAGTCAACTAACCAAAAAAAGATATAATTTTCATTTTTTTAATGTGATAATTTTCAATTAAAATAAATTCTAATTGTAATATATATACACACACACCACATAAATATCTTATAAATAATATCATTTGAATAAATAAAAAATACTTCACATATAATAAATTAATTAAATCAACTTAAATTAATGAATATCACACATATAAGCACAATAATATTTGACAAATTTTATTCTATAAATTCAATGATATACAAGACTTTACATAATAGATGTATTCTCTTCATTTTTTCTAAATAAATTTAATTAAATACCTAAATACACTTTAATGCCATGTAATTCATAAAATTACAAAAGATATATACAAAATTAAATTAGTTATATACATGAGGGTTTATAAAAATAGAAAAAATGAAAATTACACTACTAATAAATTGAAATGAATAATAGTTCTAATTTCGACATTTTTTTAAAAAATAGTTGCTAAAAAAATATAAATGAATTAGTGTAATATTCAAATGAATATTAGAAAACAATAATAAATGTAAATTAATAATAGTTTTAATTGGAATGAAACATATAACTATATACCTAAAATAAAAGAAGAAGGAATTAGTATATTTCTTAAGCAAATATTAGTATAAGTTAAAAAATTTGGGGACAAAAGAAAGAGGAAATGAAATGAAAATAATGAAAATTAAAAAACAATTATAAATGTAATTTAACAATACCTTCAATTGGAATGAATGAACATATAATTATATACCTAAAAAAAAAAAAGAATGAATTAGTACACTTTTTAAGTGAAAATTAGCAAATAGTAATGAATTTGAGAAGAGGAGGATGAGGAAATGGAATGAACATGAAAAGGAATCTGAAAGAAAAGGAAGAGGAAATAGAGAGAGAACATGAAAAAGAAAGTGGAATAAAAGGAGAAGAAGGAAATGGAGAGAAATAAGAGGTAGAAGTGGTAAAATAGAAAATGAAGGTGCAGATAGAGAGGAAGTATATTTATATAAACATTGAATTATTTTCTTGCACATTGTGCTTGAAAATAATCTAAATTTTCAAAATTAAAAGTGAAAAGGTGGCATTTCTAAAATTTTTAAGTTGTTGGAAGGTAGAGTATACTTATTTTCCAGTGCAATGCTCTAGAAAATAAGATGAATTTTGAAAATACTAGCAAAGAAGGTGGCATTTCAAAATTTTTTTGGTGTGGAATGGCACGATACTTATTTTCCAGTGCAATGCATTGGAAAATGAGATGAATTTTGAAAATACTTGAGAAGAAGGTAGCATTTCTTTTTTCTTTTTTTTTTTTGTGGGTAATGGCATTATACTTATTATGGCACTGGAAAATGATCTGAATGGCGCAAAATGCTTATTTTCTAGTGTATTGCACTGGAAAATAATTTGAAGTTTGCATTTCAGAAGTGTTGGGGCAGATAATTCTTATTTTCCAGTGCAATAATTTGAAGTTTACATTCCAAAAGTGGTGGGGCGAACAATACTTATTTTCTATTGCACTGCACTAGAAAATACTTCAAGTTTTGGAAATTTAAAGAAAGAATTTGGCACCTTTATCTTTTGGAAAATGGTACAAAATAAGTTCCTAGAGGGAAGGGCAACATTTTGTAAATTTCTAGTAAAATCACAATATACTTATATTGTAATCATATATCACAAGAAGTGTTTTCTAACATGGTATACTACAAATATGGCTACTTGAATGCATTGTATTGAAATAATGAGTCTAGAGACAATCAATACACACATAGAACAAAATATCCCTAGTTGTTTTCAAATAAAAATGTTAGTACCTATTGACATATTCATATATAAAGCCCCATATATATAATATATATACACACACAAAATATGTCATGTTCCATATTAAATACCTTAAAATACTTTATACTAATCTAAATACATAAAATATATTTCATATCCACATAAGTTATGTAGAGGGATTCTCATTAGGTGCAAAGGTATCTCTAGATGTAATGGGGGTGCCACTAGAGGAACATGTCCCTTCTCAAGGTAATATGCCAAGATGTTGTGTAATACCCCAAAATTTCTAGAGCATTAAAGTAAGTTAGCGACCTAATTGTGAGAAAATATCATTAATGAATGTAATACCAAAAATTTTCAAAAGTTGGGGGACCTAAAAGAAAGGAAATTAAGATAAGGATGGCTGAGTTGTTCTTTCTTTTTCTTCTTCCTTATCTGCGCATCTGCTCTTCTTTCTTCTCCCTTGCACCCGACAAGCCCCCCCCCAGCCACTGACGCACTCCTCTTGAGAAATTCGGCAAAAAGGCTTGAACTTTCCTCTTCTTTCCTTGTTAAATCATAAGATTTGGGGCTTAGAATCTTCCCTCTCAACCCAGAAAATCCCGGATCTGCTCTGCTCTTTTCCCCTGTCCGCTGGCTGCTATGTGGGTTTGAATTTCTGGGCATTTTTCGGGTAAGCCACAGCCAAGAAATCATCTCTTTAACCTTGATTTAGGCTGGGTTATGCTAATTTATGTTTATTTCCCTCAATTTTTTTGGGTAGTCCGTGAGTTTCCCCTGCAAATGCCGCCGGCTTCTTCTCCCTGCTAGGTCCGGTTCTTGCTGGAAATTTCTGGTATGATGGCCACTTCTTTAAGCCCTAAATTAGCCATTTAATTGCTGCCTTGTGTGTGTCTGAATTGTGCCAGAAATGGGGAGGAATTCCGGTAGCATTTAGTAGCATTTTAAATGTGTTTTAAGCTTGATTAAGTAGAATTGAGCTTGAATTAGCTGCTGTGATGTTTTGTGTGAAAATTCTGTGTGTGTGAATTGTGATTTGCCAAAGTTATGCTCTCCCTGTGCTGCCGTGAGAAATGGGAAATTTTTGGTAGATTAAGTTATGTTTTTAAGCTTGGTTTAAGTGTAAATTAGCTTGAATTGGGTTGTTGTGATTTTGGAGTGAAATCCCGTGAATTAGCTAGTGTTTTGGCCAAATTGTGGAAGTTGGAGTTACTGTTCACATCGTGAGCACTGTTTACGGGTACCGTTCGTAGGCACTGTTCACACCCCGAGAGTTGACAATTAACGGGGATTTAAATGATTAGTTTGTGATATAAGAATGAATTTGGAGATATTTGATCATGTGGAGATTTATGGAAATAGCTTTGTGATTAGGAATGATCCTAATGATGATTTCAGTGTGAATTTGTGATAGTGGTATTAATTCTTGGAATATTTTGATTAGGTTCTTGATCGT